GCCTCCCAAAGCGCTGAGATTACAGACGTGAGCCACCATGCCTGGCCTGGCATCAGTATTTTTTAATACAACTCCCAGGTAATTCTAACATCCAGTCAAGTTTGAGAACCTATGTTCTGGGTGGATGTGACAAAAGCCTAAAAGAGAAAGATCCCAGTGCATTTGAGAACTCAGGAGCAGACAGGAAGAGAAGCCAAGAAATGCATTTGAGGAAGTGTAGTGAGTTACACAGTACCCCTCACCTGCCTCCTCCTCCCTGCAAACTTCACATCCACCCACAACCTCGGAATGTTCCTGATTTGGAACCAGAGTCCTTACAGATATAATTAAGGTAAGAACGGAGACGAGATCACCCGGGATTAGCTCTGAATTCAGTAGGTGCGTCCTCATAAGCAACAGAAAAAGACACACACAGAGACCCAGAAAAGGCCACGTGGAGACAGAGGCAGAGCCTGGAGCATGACAACCACAAGCCACGGGGAGCCAGGGAGACCAGCAGGCACCAAAAGCTGGCAGGGATGGCAGAGGCAGTTTCTCCCCTGAGTCTCCAGCAGGAACCAACCCTGCCGACACCTTGATTTCAGGCTTCGGGCCTCCGGAACCGTGAACGAATCTATTTCTGCTGTTTCAAGCCACCTGGTTTATGGTCACTGGTCAGGACAACTAACATAAGAGGGAAGCAGGCACCAGCTTTACTCCTACGGGGAAACTGGAGTTGAAGCTGATCACACCGAGGAGGCTGGGCTCAGGCGGGGAAGGAGGCTGAGCAGGAAGAGAGGGGAACTGCTCCATGCCAAGTGGCGAAGGGAGGGCAGGCCCCCGCAGCTGCCGTCTGTCATGGGTAGGCTTGTTGTTGGGAAAGATGGGGTGTTCCCCTGATCTCTTCCATACTCCCAGGGAAGTGGGAAGTGCGGTTATCTACATGGAGTGGGAAGAAGTGGGGGTGGCATTCAGAGACTGGCAGATTGGAGAAGGGTCAAGTCAGTCTTCCCAAGAAAAGGAAAGGAGCAGTGGGAGCAGCTGGAGGGATCTCCTCGGCAATGCTGAAGCCCTAGTGGAAACAGAAGACCAAAACACAAGGGTGCCAGTCTGTGCAAAAGTGAGACTGGGGCTCTGGCCAGCTGGCATGCAAAGAAACATAAGCCACCTGAGCTTCGAGCAAATCACTCCACCTTCCCAAGAACAGCCTCTGGTAGTTGGTTCATGTTGTTTCTGTTAGCATCTGAAAACTTACCCTTGATCCCTAAGACAGTACATAAAATGCACCTCCAGCCAGGTGAGGTAGCTCATGCCTGTAATCCCATCACTTTGGGAGGCCAAGGCAGGTGGATCACAAAGTCAGGAGTTCGAGACCAGCCTGGCCAACATGGTGAAACCCCATCTCTACTAAAAATACAAAAAATAGCTGGGCACAGTGCCTGGCACCTGTAATCCCAGCTGCCTGGGAGACTGAAGCAGAAGAATCGCTTGAACCCAGGAGGCAGAGGTTGCAGTGAGCCGAGATCATGCCACTGTACTCCGGCCTGGGCGACAAGAGGGAGACTCTGTCTCAAAAAAAAAAAAAAAAAAAAAAAAAAAAAAAAAAGGCATCTCAAGTACCAGCCCACAAAGTGTTTTTCTCACCAACTCACTCTATCTGTCATTGAGACTCTGGCTTAGTCAGTCCACAGTGTCTAAGGGTATGCTGTCATTAGTCATTGACAATTTATTTTACAATATTCTGCCAATGCATGTTATTGACTAATTGCCAATATATATTTATTGACTACCTCCCTATGGATTATACAGTAAGTCAAGCAGTCAATAAATATTTATGGACCTACTAGGCACTGATCTACGGAAACAGAACAAAGAAGTAAATAAAAATGACAGAAAATTATTAGTGAGAACTAGAGTGGCCAACCGGTAGCTCAGCTTGCTATTGCAAGAAAGGGTCGGCTAGGAAAACCAAAAGAAGGGATTTCATAGAACCAGAAAGTTGGAGACTCTGACTTTCCAACCTACCAAGTAAAAACAGGTGAATCACCTTACCAAGAAGTCTCGGTTTCCTTCTCTGTCAAAAGGCGGCAGGTGAATCAGGCAAATGCCTTTTTAAAAAGAAAACCATTTTCGACATTCGAACAGCTTTCTAACACCCTGAGGATCTCACTGGAGGTACATGTGGTTAAGTGATGATCCTCAAAGTCTTAGATCGACATAAGATAGGTTGCCTTGAGAAACCCAAAGACAGAGAGGATCAGGGGCTCCTCTTCCCCACCCTGCTACAACCCCCAGCCCCATCCTGGAAAGTGAGTCATTTGCCAGAAAGGGGAGACCTTATCTGCTCAAAATACCCCAAATCGCTGCAAGTTTCCTTCCAAAAACATCTTGAGAGGTTCAAAACCAAGACCTGGGTGGGGCAGCCATCATGACCAGCATTTGGTGGACAGGAGTGGGGTCTGCTGAGCTGAGTAGGGGAATTCCATTATTTCTAGTAAACTGGTTTTCAACATGTGTTTTCCCTGGTTACCTACTTTTGGGCCTTTCTCTCCTAAGACTAGAACATAAACTCATCACCAATTGAGACTGACCCAAGAATTTCAGTCTGGACTCAAAGTCTGAAAGAAATCAGAGTGACTCTTCATTCATTTCTAAAGACCAACCAAGACCAAGTTCTTGCCACTCTCCCGAAGAAGGGACCATTCTCTCTCCTTCCTGGCTTTTCATCATGAGGGTCAGTCTTTCCCAACCTCTTCTGCAGAAAATACGCTTTCCCTTTGCATGTTAGTCTTAAAACTACCTCTGATTAACAGGAGCTATCTGCAGATTTTTTCTTACCCACAGAGTATTTTGATTTTGTTACCTTTTTTTAAATCAGGAGATCTTTTGGTTTATTTTTAAAAACCAAAAGATTTCCAGCTCCCTTTGATATACACAGCAAAGCACCATGGCACATGTTTACCTATGTAACAAACACACAGATCCTACACGTGTGTCCTGGAACTTAAAATAGGCCAGGCTCGGTGGCTCATGCCTGTAATCCTACTTGGGAACTGAGGTGGGTGAGCACTTTGGGAGGCTTGGCTGGGTGGATCACCTAAGGTCAGGAGTTTGAGATCAGCCTGGCCAACATGGCGAAACCCCATCTCTACTAAAAAATACAGAAAATTAGCCAGGTGTGGTAGCAGGTGCCTGTAATTCCAGCTACTCGGAAGGCTGAGGCAAAAGAATCACTTGAACCCTGGAAGTAGAAGTTGCAGTGAGCCGAGATCACACCACAGCACTCCAGGCTGGACAACAGAGCAAGGCTCCTCCTCGATAGAAAAATAAAATAATAAAATAACCAAAATACTTGATGACATGGAGTCTACATTCCCACGTGGAAATAGCGGCTGCAGTTGAGTAGCAACAGCACATTTAGCTGGGGAATGTCCCCAGTCTCCACGACTCCCCATGTCTAACACCCAAGCTACCCCATTCATTTTCATCACCTCCCTGGCCTCTGCAGGAACTGATTTTGTGACACCCAGTTATGGTAAAATCTCCAGCAAAAAGGAAGAAAAATTCCTGAACCATAATTTAATATGGAACATGATCATAACAACATAAAACAAAATGTTCTTAAAAGAAAGAGGCTAAAAAATAATTGAAAAGGTTTTTGTTTCTGGAATGATGTTTATATTTTTATTTTTATGCTTTTTTTTGAGACAGGGTCTCACTCTGTCACCCAGGCCGGAGTGCAACGGCATGATCTCAGCTCACTGCAACTTCCGCCTCCCGGATTCAAGTGATTCTCTTGCCTCAGCCTCCCAAGTAGCTGGGACTGCAGGTGCACACCACCATGCCCGGCTAATTTTCTATTTTTAGTAGAGACAGAGTTTCATCATGCTGGCCAGGCTGGTCTCAAACTCCTGACCTCAAGTGATCTGCCCCCCTAGGACTCCCAAAGTGCTGGGATTACAGGCGTGAGCCACAGCGCCCAGCCTCTTCCTTATGCTTTTTAAAGTAACTTCTAAACTTCTGAACACTAAGCAGATAATAAGTGTTGTCACATCTAACTGCAAAAATTAACTACAAAACCGTGTTAAAGTATAGGTAGACTTTACACTTAAATATAAAGTACCAAAGAATGAGCTCAAAGTTCCTACTTCTTTTGAAACCTGGTAGACACATGCCAGGTTTCTGCCCAGTGTCCTTCCAAATGGCTGACCTTGGTCACTTCATATTAGATTCTGAATATTTTCTGCAATGATACAACCGTCTGTCTGGGTGTCCTTATCCTCTCCAGACTGTAAGCTCATTAAGGCCAGAGAAAGTGTTCTGCTCATCTATGGATCCCCAATCCCTGGCACAGCGCAGGATACAAAACAGACCTCAGTCAACACACAGAGACGGGCTATGTGTGGGGCACAGGGCCTGGCTCCTGCATGCAAAAGCCCCGGTTCCAATCCTAACCCTGCCACTCTTTGGTTGTGTGCACAACTTGCCCCCTTGTGACTCTACCTCCCCATCTGTAAAACGGGCACACTGACACCAGCTAGTGCCAGGGATTGCTGTGAATATTCATGCTGAGCACTTAGCACTGTGACCAGCAGAGTCGAAGCTCAATGAGTGAAAGCTGCTGTAGTTTGTTATTGTTACTGAAAGAATAAGGGAGGAAAAGAAAAAAGGACACCATGTACAGCTAATGCATTCCAAATGCATCTGTCCTTTTAAGACCAGAATGATATTTACACATTTCAAGTCTTCTGAACAAAGATATAGGCTACTTATTGGCCCTATTATTTTTTAATTTCCTGTGAGGCCATGAAACCTTCCAGAAGTAAACAGAAGCAGCAAGAGAACATTTCAATGTGCTCGTCTCTGGCCCCTCTGGTCATCTCGGGCCAGCGTAACCTTGTGGGTCCCACACATGCCCGCAGACCACCCCGGGTACCTCCCCCAGAATACCCTGCTCCCAGCGGGGAAGCACACGGGCCCTAGCTTTCCAGAGAAAGATCTGGCCCCAGGGCCCAACTTACAGCACTCAATGGGGTTAGATGCAGTCTGCAAAGACACGGTCCTGCCGCTGGACTCTGGGATGTGAACTCGGAAAACCAGCCTCACCCGCGTGTTCTTTCTTCCAATGTCCGTCTCACCTTTCCGCAGCTCAATGTCGGCATTTCTAAGCTTCAAGATCCCCGCACAGTCGATGCTGCCAGGAGGTTAAGAACCCCGTTGTCACCAACTATCTTTAGGAGCAGGAAAGATCACCCCCAAAGCTGCCTTAGGCACCCAAAACAATTCTACAGTCAGCCACTGGGGGAAACTGCCATACACCCACATAAGCATTTCAGCCGGGAATGTATACCAAGGTGGGGGTAAAACACTTAACAAAGCAATTAGAGCAACTCCCCAGTGAAAATTACTTCTCTAGGGAGATTCTTCATGCCAACGCTTCTACTCAAAAATATCTGAAAACCCCTATGTAACTGGGGAATATTGATGGTGGACTATTCAATCGGTAAAAGTAGTGAATCAACATGAAATCTCTTGAATCGAATAAATGCACTGTGGTTGTGTATGAGAGCATCCTTGTTCTTAGGAAAAGCATCCTGAAGTATTTAAAAGTAAAAGGGCATAGAGTCTGCAACTACCTCTCCAACAGTTCAGGAAAAAATGGAGAGGCAAGAGAGAAAGTGACGGGACACACGTCAAGTATGTTAACGCTTGGAAAATCTGAGGGAACAAAATTCAAAAGTTCCTTGTATACTTCTTGCAGTATTTCTGTAAGTTTGAATTTATTTTCCCATCCAAATGTTTTTTAACCCCAAAATGAGTGCAACGGTTCCCAAACTTTAGCCACAAGCATATCAGCCTTGTGAATTTGGACCTCTCTGCATCATTACTTCATGATCTCTCTAGGTCAAATCAATTTTTTAAATGTAAGTAAATTTAATCTGATCCCATGCAATGTCATACAAAGATTCATGACTATTCTTCCTCCCAAAACGCATGAAAATATTGACATATTTTACTTTTTTTAAAATTTTTCAGATAGATTCTCACTCTGTCACCCAGGTCAGAGTGCAGCACTGTGAGCTCGGCTCACTGCAACCTCCGACCTTTGGGTTCAAGAGATTCTCCTGCCTCAGCCTCCAGAGTAGCTGAAACTACAGGTGCACGCCACCACGTCCAGCTAATTTTTGTATTTTTAATAGAGATGAGGTTTTACCCTGTTGGATGGGCTGGTCTCAAATTCCTGATCTCAAGTGATCCACCTGCCCCGGCCTCCCAGAGCACTAGGATTACAGGCGTGAGCCACTGTACCTGACTTACTATGATACTTTTAAAATAGAAACATTTGAAACAGAAATCACAATGGGTGGACAGATCATAGACTGAGGACTGTCATCAACAGCTGTTCCCATCAGTTCCATAGAATCCCCTCTCCCAAATCCCTGCCACCTGTCCCCTGCTCACTTCTCCATGAAGACCAACCACCCAGCCACCAGCCCTTACGTTGCCCTCATGTTGTTTTTTGGCTCCAGGGGGATCTCCAGGACTTTGGTGTTGCCCACAATCTTCTCATAGCTGGTGGTGGTGACAGTTTTCCCCGTGATTCGGTGCACCTGGTAGAAGGCGTGTGGCTTAAGGATCCGCTCATCAGCTGTCCCAATGAAGATCTGAAGTCCCAGAGGCTTGTTTTCCATGTAGCCATGGAGCTGGGGGGAGAAAACAAATCATTCAGATGTGGGGTGTGGTGGCTGTCACAAAACAAACAAACAAACAAAAACGGAGAACTCAAGGCAACAGAGAGAGGATGGGATTCCTGCAGCATCCGGAAGAATGGAGAACTGGAAATGACCGTGAGGTCTGGCCAGAGGGTAATGCTTGAATAAATTACAGGGATCCCCTCTAACATTGAGTATTAAGCAGCCACTAGAAAGAATACAGTAAGTCAGAATTACACTTATGGAGAAACAGCCAGAAACTGTGCTTAATTGACGACTGGGGGTGGAAGGAATGATGCCTATGAGTGAGGATAATAACTGAAATTAACAGAAAATAAACTGAAAGGACAAACAGAGCTCTTGCTAGTGACTGCCTGAAAAGATCAGAAGAACGAACTTTCACTTCTTATGTGACTATATTACAATTAACAAAGTTTGACTGTATAATTTAAAAAATGAGTGAGACAAAAATACCATAGTCTAAGTCAAAAGATAAGTTAAATACTGAAAGAAAATATGTGCAACATATAACAGATAAAGGATTAGCACATAGAATATACAGAGAATGCCTACAGTGAGTGAATAAGATTCCCTGGCCGTCTATTTAGAACTGAATTCCAATTCCAGTGGCTTTCTCCTACTTTTTATTCAGCTAAACACACACACTATATTTTTTTATTTCTTTTGCCTAAGTCTTTCTCCCAGAACTAAACTGCCCCCTCTCTGAGAGCAGGGATGTTTATCTAGTTAATTCGCCACAAAATCTCTAGCACCTAGAACAATCCTTGGCACATAGTAGGCATTCTAGTACATATTTGATGAATAAATTAATAAGGCTATCCAACAGTAAAAAATGAGTAAGATATTTGAACAGGAAATTCAGAAAAAACAAATGGCCAGTTTGACTTCTAAGCAGAAAAATACAAATTAAACAACCATGAGATACCATTTTTCACCCGTTAGAGCTGGATTGGCACACATGTAGATATTTGATAATATCAAGTATTTTGGAGATTGTGGGGGAACAGGCACTTTTATGCAGATGACAGTAATATAAAATGGCATAACTCTTTTAAAGAGTATTAGAGCAACAGCTTTACTAAACTACATGTAAATAAATAAACACTCTCTGACCCAGTAATTCCACCTCTCAGTATGCACACTAGAGAAACATTGTGTATGCAGGAGATATGTATAAAAATGTTTACAAAAACAAACAGCATAATGAACAATGAGTTACATCAATAGCCTGACAACTAATAGGACAGCCTAGGCTATAATGCACTAAGAAGCATTTTAAAAAATAGTAAGGTAGAAGCCTATGAACTGACCCAGAAAGATCTAGAACACACTGTTGAAAAACAAAAGCAATGTGTAGAAAAATACATGCAGCATGATTTAACTTAAAAAAAATTCAGAATGTTTTCCATCCATCCACCTGTAACAGAAAAAGCTGTCAAAGGATGTGCTCCAAACTGACCACACCATCATCACCTCTACGAATGGAGGAGGAGCTCAAGATTGAGAATGTGATCAAAGAGGACTTTGACTTTATATGCCATGTTATAGGAATAATAGATTCCTAGAAACCTGTGAAATTTTATGTGTGTGTGTGTGTGTGTGTATGGATGTATGGAGATATATAGATATATATAGATATACAAAACAAGAGACAAAAGGACATTGATCTACAGTTTGTTGATGTGTTCCTGTCTTGTCATTGAATGGAGAAACATTAGAAAAATCATTTAATCTTTCTGTATCTCTATTCCTTTCTCCACTAATTGAATGGGATTACAAGTGACAACTCACTAAGAGCCCACTCTTCTCGGGAGATCCTTCAGTAGGATATCCAGTCACCTGCCAAAAAGCAAATTTGCAGGGTGATGAATGATTACACATGGTATAGAATTGTGCTATCGAATGTAGGAGCCACTAACTACATGAATATATTAAATAAAATTGAAAATTCAGTTTTTCAGGTGCACTAGCCACATTTTAGTGTTCAGAAGCCACATGTGGCTAGTGGCAGCCATAATGAACAAACAGCACATATACAGAACATTTCCATCATCACAGAAAGCCCTATTGAACAATGCCAGTCTAGAAAGATGGCACACTCATGTCCCCCTCTAAAAACCATACAAAGAGAGAAGCTAGGAGTGGAGTTGTGCTAGATGATCACCTTTTTCATAACCTGCCAGACACTTATGTAAGTGTCTGACACACCTGAGAGGCAGCCTCGAGCCGAGATGAAAATCCAAGTCAGAAGCCTCTTATCTGAAGAACAGATACTGTTCTTGGTGACAAAACTTTTACAGGTGAGGAAACTGAGACTGCTACGGTCAGGCAACTTGCCCCAGTCAAGAGGAAGAAGGGCAGGACTGAGAAGAGATTGTGTTTTTTGTTAGTTTTGCTTTGCATTTGAGCCCAAGACAAATGTATTTCCTCATCTCCTCTTCCGGATTTATCAGGAGTTGGTATCAAAAAGAAAGGTAGGATGGAGAGAGCCCTGATGATGTGTGGCTGTTTCCTCCTTCGTGACAGAAGAGCAGAAATCACCTGCTGGGTATTCTCAAGGTAAACAGCCAGGGAACACCTAGAGATAAAATCTATCGCGTCCCTACAGCTCCGCCTGGATCCAGCTGCTTCTGGCCCCTCTCCTGTTGGCACACTGCCAGAGACGCCATCACCCCTCACTGGAGTGACCAGCACTGACTGTCCAGCTTACCTCTGGCTGGTCTTTCACAGAACAGCTAAATGATCTTTTAAAAATGCAAATCAGATCCGGACACTCCCCTGCCTACAACCCTCCAAAGACTTCCTGTGGCCTCAGAATAAAATTCGAACCCCATGTGATGATCTATAAGCCTCCCCACAGCCCAGCCTCTGCCTTCTTCTCCACCACCCCGCTCGGCTCCTGCCTACACCAGCCAGCCTCCTGTTCCCTGAACACACCAAGATCTGTCTGACCTCAGGGCCTCTCCACAAGCCATTTTCCCTGTCTAGAATACTATTCCACAGGCACACTTGGGTTTTAGATCTTCAGGTTTTTTCTGAGCCAGATTAGATTCACTCAGTGCTAAAGCCAGCTGCTTAGGCATTATAAGAACCAATTATTAAACCTACAGGAATTTTAAGAACCAGTTGACACCACTTTGGTTACTTTGTTATGTACATTTCCAGCCATAGTGGGAATATTTACACCACAAAAACTGACATGCCATATAAACCAGGACTTTTCTCCCCCTGGAAAATTGGATGTTAAGCATTTGCTAGCACATCACTGGAATATTTACTTCATTAACATCTGCAATTTCCTTGTTGAGTTATTTGCTGAATACCTCTCTCTCCCGCCTGAATGTGAGTTTCACAGTTGTAGAAACCTTGCTTATTTTGTTAACATGGTAAATGAACACTTGTTGAATAATTTGTCACCCTCAACAGTAATGCAGCCCCAGGCGTGGTGGCTCATGCCTGTAATCCCAGCACTTTGGGAGGCCAAGGTGGGTGGATCTCTTGAGCCCAGGAGCTCAAGACTAGCCTGGACAACATGGCCAAACCCTGTCTCCACAAAAAAAAAAACCCACAAAAATTAGCCAGGCATAGTGTCCCAAGTCTGTAGTCTCAGCAACTTTGCAGGGCTACAGTGAGAGGATCAGCTGAGCCCAGGAGGTGGAGGCTGCAGTGAGCCATGATCGCGCCACTGCACTCCAGCCTGGGTAGCAGAGTGACACCCTTTCTCAAACAATAAACCAACAAAAAACAGTAATGCAGCAAAGAAAGCATCTGTGTTCCTCATGCCACGCACCACACTTGATGCTTTACACATCTCACAACAATCCCATGTTGGATGGGCTCGCTGCCACCCACATTTCACAGGCGAGGAAACAGGCTGCCAAGGTCAAGCAGCTTGCCCCAGTCAACACAGTGAGTATAGGGCAGTGCCAGGTTCCGCACTCCAGCCTCTCAGGCCCCAAACCGCCTGCTTCCCCATCGCCCTCTCCCTGTCTTCAGCGTCAGTGGATTCCACTCTGATCTCTGACTACAGGTCAGAAAGGACAGGTCCTCAAAGAGAAAATAAGCAGGTGCTAAGGTGCAACATCAAGAATGTGCTTCCTGGGGCCGGGCACGATGGCTCACGCCTGTAATCCCTATACCTTGGGAGGCTGAGGCGGGTGGATCACTTAGGGTCAGAAGTTCAACACCAGCCTGGGCAATGTGGTGAAACCTTGTCTCTTCTAAAAATACAAAAATTAGCCAGGTGTGGTGGCATGTGCCTATAATCCAGCTACTCGGGAGGCCGAGGCAGAAAAATCACTTGAACCCCGAGCGTTGGAGGTTGCAGTGAGCCGAGACTGTACCACTGCACCCCAGCCTGGGCAACACAGTGAGACTCTGTCTCAAAAAAAAAACAAGAATAGAATGTGCTTCTGTTGCACAGGAGAGAGAGTAGGGGAGGTGAGAGGGAGAAAAGAAGGGGCACAGAGGGAGATGGAGGGAGAGAGATAAAAACGGGAGCTCCTTGGGAGGAAAACCTCCTCTAGGAAAGCCAAGAACGGCCTCTCTGAGTTGAAGAGCAACCCCTGGGTTGAGCTGGGCTGGTTCACACAACGTGAGCAGAGAGAATGCACCTCGCACTGGTGAGGGTCCCTTCCCCACCTCCCCAGGTAAGACCAGAGCACCCTGTGGTATAGCAGAAAGCACACAAGTTTTCGCGTTGGGTCAGATGCCTCTGAATTTCGATGCCAGCTCTGCTACTCAGTGGCTGTGCAACCGTGAGCAGTTGCTCCCGCGCTGAGTTTCCACGCACTCAGATAAAAGGGGGACATCACCTCCCACCCTGCAGGCCTCTTCTGAAGGCTAGAAAGGGTGACCTTTGTTGGACACCAAAGCACAGGGCACACGGTAGGTACCCATGAAACGAGAACTTTCCTTGTCATCAGAGGGTGACACAAATCGAAACAGGGAGGTGATATTACAGAACTGAA